CCAAAAATTTAGCCAATTTTGGAGTTGATCATTAACGTAAGTTTTTAACATTTCTGACGCTATTATTACTTCTTGATGAGATGTTAATATTGCTATATCATTAGCATATTTGCTGTCAGAATATTGGAAGATTCTAGTACTCGTAGGTCCAATGTGTATAGCAGGTATAGTGTTGGACCAAAAACACTGCTCTATACAGAGTGTCCCATTTTAAAGGAACCACCCCGAAATTTTCGACGGTTGGCGTTGTACAAAAAAATTGTTCAGACAACAGTTGTTTGGGACAATGGGGGCAACCTTTCTGTGAAATCCGATTTGACCTTGAGATTCATTTTCAAGGTCAGTTGAAGGTCAAAGTCATTTTTTCAATAGGAACCTATATTTTTGATCCCGGATTCGGAAAGAGCGGAAAATTCTACGTTCAGATAACGTGTTATGTGTGCGGTGTGGTTAATCACCCCCCTCGCCTAAGGTCATGTAGGGGTCAAGTTTATGATTTTCTCCATCTATGCACAGGGATGATCGGGCAAGGATAAGGTTAATTGTAATAACCCAATAACTCCATAACCCCAATAACCCAATAACCAAGAGATATTTTGAATAAGGACCCCCATTTTTTATCCCGGATTCGAAAAGAGCGGGAAATTCTACGTTTAGATAAAGTATTATGTTGGGGGAGCGGTTCACCCCCCCTATCCCACCGGGGCAAGGGTGAGGTTAATAAGGTATTGATTACCCAGCCAGTGAAGACAAGGTATTGATTACCCAGCCAATGAAGGTAAGGTATCGATTACCCAGCCAATGAAGGTAAGGTATTGATTACTCAGCCGGGTACTGCGGGTAATACCTTGCCGCAGCACGATATCGGCCTTGACATGCCCCGAGAGACAACAGAATATCAACAATTTCGTTTCTCGAATAATCCGGCATATTCCCTCCTTTTAAGTCGACTAAGAAAATTACACTTGAACTATCCTGAGAAGGACTGTTCGCGAATCACTATTGTCATAAACAATACTAAAAAAGTGTTGTTTACGGTATCTGCGCTTGGGTATCCGATTCGTTTGTGGGCCTCGTGCAGCGCGGCTGCATCGCACATGCGTCGCAGCTGACCTCGCGGTAAGCTGTGACGCATGTGCGTTGCATCTGCACGTCATTATCGACACGTGTTGGACAATCGAAAGCGGTGCGATATGCTACGGGGTCCGACCGTGCGACGCGCTCTGGGCCTCTCTATTACGCTACGGGTCCTGAATGCGGGGGTGGAGTGGGAATGCTTCGCCCAATATAAGACGGGCATCGCTTTCCCCAAGTTTAGTTTTAGTTTTGTTGCCCTCTTTGACGGATCCGAACGTTCTTATTCTGTGCGCTGCGGTTCGATTTTGTACACGAGCGAAGTAATTGTTGTGACCACGGCGAAAGCATCGTCCGACATCGCGACCAGTGACTCGTGGCTGCTGAGCCACGGACAGGGAGACCTGCTGCCGTAGGTGAGGGCGCGACCAGCCCTCAGAAGTGCCTCCAACTACGCGGCTCTGTGCCCATCAGCTTCCTCAGGTGACGCTGTAGCGAGGGCTGTTCCCGTTCCCGAGACGTCGGGGCTACACCGTCCCTTTAATTTCGGAGGCACTTTCTCGATTCCTCTCCCACTCTCACGAGTCCTACATCATGCGGTAAGTGGACCGGATGATCCACCGATTTGCGTGCGCACATACGACAAAGATTGTAAAGGCGAGAGCCTAGAGGCGAGCGACGTCCAATTTGATGCTTGCGTTCTACTCATTGTAAATTATTATTAATAAAGTTGCTGCATCTAAAGGGCTTTTCCCCACCTATGACTGGGGTTTTTATGCCGGCTAGGTGCAGTCTCGTCCCTAATCTAGGGAATAAAAAGAAACCGCGACTTCTTGTATATTGAACCTCTGAACAGCATCCACTTCCTTGGACCTATCTAATACACACTCACTCCATTTTCTCTTCGGCAGGTAATATTGCATTTATTCAAGTGTTATTAAACAATTTAGTTGAAACTTTGTAGGCTTGTCCGGAATCACACCAGAAAAAAGAATGGAAATAACATGTTATCCCACAAAATGGAAAATGACACTTCTCATGAAGGCTTTGAATATATGAAGTCGACTTTGAAAATCAACCTGAAGTTTAAGCTCAAGGTCACTGTTGTTTGACCCTACAATTTTTTTGGGATATATTAGGGTTATTGATATATTGGGGTTATCGGGTTATTGGATTATTGGGTTATTTGGGTTATCGAGTTATTGGGTTATTACAATTAACCTTACTCTTGCCCTATCATCCCTGCGCATAGATGAAGAAAATCATAAATTTGACCCCTACATAACCTTAGGCGGGGGGGGGGGGTTAACCGCACCCCACACATAATACGTTATCTAAATGTAGAATTTTCCGCTCTTTCCGAATTCGGGATCAAAAATATAGGTTCCTATTGAAAAAATGCCTTTGACCTTCAACTGATCTTGAAAATGAATCTCAAGGTCAAATCGGATTTCACAGAAAGGTTGCCCCCATTGTCCCAAACAACTTTTGTCTGAACAATTTTTTTGTACAACGCCAACCGTCGAAAATTTCGAGGTGGTTCCTTTAAAATGGGACACCCTGTAGAACTGCTGTTTGTATTACTTGACGTTTTGAGAATTGTTTTTGACTTTTACTTGAAATTCTATCTTGTATATAAGATTGCAGCAAATCACAAAGAGAAACAAAAAAGGTACCTGACCTTAGGAGGGAGCGCTGCTGTGGAAGTCCACGTCCGCTGGGCCAACTACGTATTCCTCAAAAGGTGGATCTCTATGTGGATGCAGCTCGTCCTCCTTTTTGATATTGTTCACTCGGTGGCATTTAACTATTCACGCACTTCTTAGTCGCGAGGCTTAACTAGCTCGAAATTAGTTGCTGGTAAAAGCCATACTAACGCCGCGATCTCGCGCTTTTCGCGACGTCTTACGCGCCCCTCCCTATAGGTACCCAATCGGCCGAGCGCCGCCGGCTACGCACACATGTGCGACTCATGCCGGCGACACTATTTCTCTCTCTCCTCCTCTGCTTCCCGCTCTCGCTCCGTTCCTCCAACGCCAGGCATCTCCGCCGATCAGGAATCAAACCTGCAACAAAGCCGCATCGTGCGTCAATACTCGGTTTTAATCAACTGAGATCGATGTGGCAGCGGTTCAGGGGAAGGCACACGAAAGAGAGAGAGAGGCGAACAGGGCGAGCGAACTCAACGGTCGATTCGCCCGTCACAGTGTCATACCTGGTTTCATTTGAAGACGGCTTCGAAATCCGTAGTGGAGTTTACCCCTGAATTCTTCGATGGTCTCACAATAGAGCTTAGCTCTTTCCATCAAAGTTATTTCTCTGTCATTTTCTAGGCACGTAGTATCAGCAATACTATCTCGAATATCCATTACTCATTGATTGTATGGGATCGTTCTTTTGCGGTACTAGGACCGTCAACTCTCCTCAGTGGGTATTTGCAGTTTCGCTTGGGAAAAACACTTATTATAGATCTCCTATGAAGTCATTAAAGTCAGTTAAGATCAACCCTTATATAGCTGTGTACGCTCTATCTTATATTTTGTTAATAAGCAGTTCGATCAATTGAAACTTGACTTCTTGTGGTATTAGATGTTTTGCATGTTGGCACGCTCGTATAAACCTATGTAAATTAGTACCGTCAAATAGGGAACGTTAGTCAGGTCTTCTTTAATCGTGAGAGTAGAAGGGAAACGGAAAGGTACGATGGGTTATGCTTCAAATGGCTTTGGTCACGATATGTGATAAAAGAATAGTCGCTGTCGCAGTCAGGATAGGAGGCTAACTGGTAAACCTTAGATCGTAGGTATTTGTATTGTGTTAACTAAATTTTGATTTTGTGTCATCGGGGCCCTTGTATTTTCTACCTGGTTATATGCTGCGCGAAGTAATATAATTTGTCTCTCAAGTTCCTTCATTTTTCCGTTTTCTTCGACAAGAGCAGAGGTAATCTTTTGCATGATTTTTTCTGTTTCCTCGTTGACGCGGGCTTTTCCAAGAGCAAGAGCTGCTTTTCGAATATCTATTTCTCTTTTTCCGCATTCAGGCTTAGCTAACTCCATTAGATTCCTTTAAGAATTTCGGGAAGACACAACGTCACGTGAATCTTCGAAGTCTTCGTTCGATTTCTGCATTTTGTCCTATGTGAAAAATGCGTTTGAAATAGCAGAATTAGCGTGTTGTGATATATTTAGGTGTTTGCCAGTAACACAGCTTGTGGTCGAAAACTCGTTTATCCTGGACCTTTGTAGCTTTTTGCATGAATATAAAGAGGGAAAAAAAAGAAACATAAACCTGATATGTAGAGTGATGAGAATGTGCGCGTATGAATTGACTAGCGAAGCAGTGGTTAGCGACTACAAGTCTTGTGGTGTAATTAATTTTGTTAATAAAGCTGAGTACAAATACTCTATTGAAAAAATATCCCACTGCTGCTTTCACCAATGTTACGTCTTATTTTTATAATATTTTATAAAAGGATAATTCACGTGTCCGGGCGAATAGCGAAGGTTTATACAATAATATGGATTTGATAGAATGGGATAGAATAGTATTCAATAATGTGGAAACAATAAAGTTAGCAAAAATTCTGTAAATCAAATAAATAAATAATAGGAATCTAACTTCAGGCAATGAGAGGTGTCAACTTTCATTACCTATACTTATCAATGTGTTGGATAAAGTTCGTCCGTTGGATTTATTATTTTTCTTTTTTTTGTCCGGTTGACTCTAATATTCTCTTTATTAGTAACTGCACCTCAGGTTCCATTACAACTAAATATCGTTAGAATTTAATATATAAAAATTATTTTTTTTTATCAGTCATGTGGTCGATAAATCAACAGAGTAGGCAAGATGAATATTATTTTTAATATTATGTTGAATATTATGAATATAAATGTACAATAATTTTATTATCACATTTTTAGAACTCCATCCATTCGTATGGTTGCGGGAATTTGGTGGTTTTTCGTACTTATAATGGTTTCAAGTTATACAGCCAATTTAGCAGCATTTTTAACTGCAGTGAAAATGGAAGATTCTATAAATGACGTTGAAGATTTAGCAAAGCAGACAAAAATATCATACGGGGCTGTAAAAAATGGAGCTACATATTCTTTTTTCAAAGTACGTTTTCATTTATTACTTTTATTTTCACTTTGCATTATTAATTTTAAATTAAAAATCTAAGCTTATTGATACAAAACTTTTTTTTAAATCTTCTTCGACATGTATATAAAATTGAATAAAATAATATGATTAATGGGCGAATATATTAATTAATGTTATAGCAAATTATTTCTTGATACAAGATTAATGGTCATCTCAATGTACTTTTTGATGATGAAGATACTACTGAGCATACCTTTTTCCGTTGGATAGTTCTAACAAAACGTTTTTATTATTCTGGATATCAATGATCTTTAAGGATTGCTTGTTATAACTGTTGGCTTTCCCTAACCTAGTCTCATTCAATACCCAAGCACACTCACCAACTTTCCTTTTAAAGGATCTAACATGCTCGTCGTATCGATCCTTGGATTTTGCCTTTTCGCGGATTTGGTTCTCGCCCGTCGCTATTCTTAGTTCCGTCAGACGTAAAATTAAATCGCGCAGGTATTAATTATAAGTGCCTAGCTTTTCTTTCCGTGGGATTTTCATAGAGGAATGAGCAATCCTTCCGTAAACTAACTCAAAGAGGGTGTAACCGGTTCCATTATGTATGCTCGTATACCCGATCCCAGCCATCGTTCGGAGTACATTCGTAGAAAATCAACTAAAGGTGCATAGCTTGTCTCGAAAGAGCCATTAGTCTGAGTCCTATATTTGGAAGTCGTTAAATGGTGAACTTTAAACAAGTGTAGTAATGACTCCACAATCTGTGAAAGAAAACTTGACCTGCGATTTGATAATATTGCTCTCGAGGCGCCAAATATGTATATTAATTGTCTAGCCAATACATCAGCTATACTAGTCACCCTTAGATTTTTTATTGGTACAACAATTAGGTATTTGGTCAAATTAAATTGCATGGTCAGCAGATAACGATTTTCACTAGGCGTGGTCTGTAATTTCTCTACTGTGTCTATCGATACTTTATCGAACGTCTCGATCGGCGTGTCCGTAATCAGCATTGGTTCCTTAGTCTTAAGTCGGTCAATTTTTTTCTCAAGATAATTCGGGTATCTCCGGAAATGATTTAATACATCTTTCCGCAAACCCAACCCCGGCCAATAATACCGCGCTCTGATCTTTTGTATGTCTGACTAACACCCTTGTGACTACCCACTAGGCTGTCGTTAGGGTCCTACTTATTTCCGGCCATTGTTCTAGAGGTGGAAAAATGGTCTTTCCAAAGCATACAATTACCTTTGTAGGGCAGTTTTCAAAGGTTCTTATTAGTATATCCATCAATAATCCAGGTCCAATATCATCAGTATAGTCTCCTCGTCCAGCAATTCGAAAGCTCGTTACGTTTTTCTTGAGCAATATTTTCCTCAGATTCATCAGTTCCACTTTCATAGTTTCTACACTAATAGAGTCATGATACTTATTTTTAAAAACAATAGAAAAAATACTATGATTTTTTATTTAGTCGTTAGAATTTGTCCGATTTTCGGTTTCAAGCATGAAATGCACAAGATTATCCGGTTTATATATCAATTACTATTGACTCAAATTACTATTAATTTGCATGATATATCTCGCAGATCCTAATGATAGATTACATTTGGAGGTATCACTTCTCGAATATGGATTCTTGTAATTTACTGGTCTTTGGTATTGGTTGATCGGTCGAGGTGGCGGCAACATGAAAAATATTTCGTCGTCCTCTGGCGTCTTCGAAAAATGTAATTCCATAGGACTCTCGTTCTTGGGATCTGATTCCTCGGGTATCCTATCAAGACCTTGTGACAGGATTCTGACCAAAATATTCGGCCCTATCTGGCTCGTTTTCTCTCTCTCTCTCTCTCTCTCTCTCTCTCTCACGCGGCTTGCTCCTTCGCTGTGGCTCTGGCGAGCGTAGTGGAAATCAAGAACCGATACCGATGCTCGCAACGCTTTATTTTAGGGTCAATACCTGTGCTAGGCATCGTCATTGGAAGCCAATTGGAAGCAACAGTGGCTGCGGCGAGGAAGAGAGGGAGAAATAGATGCGTCGCGTGTGACGAGTGAGCGAGCGCGAATGACCCACGGCGGTCCCCTCGCGAGAGCGAAGCCGCTGGTGTTGCTTGAGCAGGCACGCGCGCGGTTGGGAAGAGAGTTCGAGCTGAGATCTTGAGAGGAAAAGATCGACCGTGACAGTCGAGAGCGCGCGCGCCATAAGAGCCCGAATCGTCTAGCAAGGAGAAACAAAGGATCAAGACGACGCTGAGCAGATTGCAGCCAGAAGAAATTTTTCAGTGATGCTCAAGACATTAGGGATTTCATCTCAACCTGTCGTCAACCTGCCTGCAATTCCAGCAACAATTCCTGCCAGCAGTCTTCGTCAGGTCAGGTCGTCTCTCTCTCTCTCTCTTTTTATTCGCGAGTACGCGACGCGTCGGCGAAAACGGTGAGAGCGGCGAGATCCTCCTTTCAATTCCTCTCAACCTATTGTACCGTGCCCCCGTGCGTCTTTTCGTACGAGCAAAGGCACGCGGCCGCAGAGAACGACGCGTAAATCTACATCGTCTCTCTTTATAATTGTGAATCTTATCGAGTAATCAAATTGATTGAAGGTTATCGAAAGTATTTATAGTGTGCGCCCGTCATTCCCTTCCTCTCGAGTTAGCATCCATCACGCCAACTTCATGACGAGGCCCATCGTCACCGTTGGTCACAGTGGACCGAAAGAGCCTCCCGTGCCTTCCTCTTTAAAATAATTAGTGACAAGGCGCTCGAGCATGGACCCATTGCATGGCTCGTAGGAATTATCAATACAATAATTCTCTAAACGCAGAAATTTGGTGTCACAACCTTCTATAGTTTGATTGTCTCGCGCGATCCCCATGTCATTTCAATAATATAACGTATTGTCCAGCCTCCTATACCACCGTAGACTGGCTTCAGATCATTCTGCTGATTTCCAAACCACATTTGGTGATAAACTGATTCCCTGTTCTAGAGCTCGTTCCTCACATCTTTTGGTCGCACTTTCGTTTCCTTCAAACGTGCCATCTTCAGGTTCTCCTAAACTTCAACTAGTTTTAGGTCCACTAACTATTAGTTCTATAGATTCGGTATCCGTTTCATTCGCTACTTTTTCCGCACTAATAGGATCCTCTGGTTTACTGTCAGAGTTTGATTCATCACTCTGAATTCCCTTACGTCATTTCTCTTCTGGTTCCGATTCAATCTCTTTCCTTAGGCCACTATACCGGGGGTCCTTTATCGGAGGTCTATCGTCCGTACTATCTTAGACGTTTTCCGGATCTTTATTCTCCTCTGTAGTTGAAGATAAAAAGGACTGCTGAGAGAAAGTTGACTGTTGCGTACTAACTTCGCTGTCCGAATCCGAAACGCTGGCATTTATGCTTTCCCTGCCCAGTTGATCTAACATATATTGCACCCGCTTGTGTCGCCCACTCAGCATACGAGTATATTGTCCAAAAGTCGAGTCTTTGACAAATATGCTGTCTCCATTGTCTTTCACGATCATTTCTATGGTAGATTCATCAGTCACTGTTCTTTTCTCCAGGTTTGAAGCTTTAGGTGGGTCTTCTTCCTCCGATCCGGAGCTATCTGTCGCAATGTCCGGCGCAGTAATTCGTAATGCTTTCAGTTACTCAGGTAAAAGCTTATCCTTGTTCACTGTTCATTTAGCGACTTCCGCTCTAAATCCCTGGTTTGGGTTCATTTGGTAGTTTAAAGGTTTTATTTTTTGTCGCCACAGGTTTCTTACGCCTTGTCCTTTTAGCGATAGTGCTATGATCTAATTTTGGCTTCTCTTTATTCGTTTTAGCCCCGAATGGTCTTCCTTTCGGCCTCGGTTCATTCGAGAACGTGTGAGTCCTCTTACGGCTAACTTCCGTGTCTTACGGATCCTCTACTGTTAGTTTTTCATCTGCTTCGTTTCCTGCACTTTTGTGTTTTATCATTACTTGAATTTTCGGAATATTTTCATTCAACTCTTTCTGAGCCTTTTCATCTAAATATTCCTGTAAATTAATTGGGTTCCTGGATAGCGCATCTGTATTGCAGTTTAATTTTCCAGGATATACTTAAATGTGTATTGATAATCCGTAAACTTAAACATCGATCTTATGAGCCTTTGCTCTGGGTTCTTGCGATTATGCATAAAATTCAGTGGCTCATGGTCAGCAATCAGAATAAACCTCTTGCGTAAGAGAAAAGGTTTAAATTGATTCATCGCATATAAAATTGCGACGCACTCTTTTTCCGTTATAGTATAATTTCTTCCTGCTTTGTTCAGTAACCTTTAAAGATAAGCTACTGGCCTTTCAACACCATCCACCTTTTGTGGTAGAACTGCTTTTATTGCATAGTCCGAAGCGTCCGTGGTCAAAATAAAGGTCTTCTGAAAATGGGGAAAAGCTAGAATAGGTGCTTCACAAAGCACCTATATGTAAGCATATAGCATAGCATATAAGCTTTTCGAAAGCCTCCTCTTGTGGTCATCTCTAGTTATAGGTCTGATCCTTCTTTGTTAAGTCACTAAAAAATTTGGCTATCTTCGAATAGTACTAAATAAAACGTCGATAGTATCCAGAGAGTCCGAGAGAAGATTTGACGCTTTTTACTCCTTTAGGCGTTGGAAACTTCATTATGGCCTGAACCAATTTAGTATCCGGCTCCACTCTTCGAGCACTGACAATGTATTCATAACGAATCAATGTATCTGTACCTGTCTATGAAGGAAATTCACTTTGCCTGATTGCAGGATTAACCCTGCGTTAGAAAGCCTTTCAAATAATTTTTCTACCTTAATTTCATGTTCGTGTAAATTTTTAGCATAAATTATTTATCATCCAAATACACTAATATTTCTACATTTAATAGTCCCCGCAGAAACGCATTCATCATTCATTGAAAGGTAGCTAGCGCGTTCCTTAAGCCTTCCGGTATTCTGTCATAATGAAAGTGTCCATCTAAAGTAGAGAAAGCTGTTTTCTCTCTATTCTCAA